AAGCTGATCCCCCTGCAAGAAGAATTTAGGGCTCTTACACCTAACCCAATGCTTCACTAGGTCCGTCCTACCATCCAGATACGCCAAGTGCATCAGATAATACACCATCACCAAATACCTGCCCGACTGAGTAAGAAGTAGACCTTCAAAGTTGACACCCGCTGCCTGCACCTCAATCAACCGCTGCTCCACATCCAACTCCTCTGCATCTGCAAACCTATCCTCTCCGTCCGCAAACGGTACCCAACTCAAGGTGTCTGGCATTGTAAAGGACTTCCCTCACACGTGACCCACCACAAAGGAGGACAGTTGCAGATACACCACCCATTGCTTCATTGGAGTGTTGGGAAGAGATGGCAAATTGATCATCCACACCAGTGCCTCTGCATCCACAAAAAACTCAAAGAAAACTCCCCAGAGTAAGTGCTGAAGCCTCCACACCACCTTGGTAACCCCGCACAGCTCCAGATTAGGTTGGGAGTAGCGCAACTCAACTTTGGTGAAGGTAACGGACCTGTACAACACCAGCCAATCCTTCCCTTCTTCCTCTTGAGAAAACACGCCTCCCGCCCCAGATTTGCTGAAATCAACCGCCAATCAAATACCTCCTCTGCCATAGTCGAGGTCCTTCAGAGTGATATCCAGGCCAACAATTCTCTTTGGCTCATTGAACACTGCTTTGCAAGCCTCTGTCCAGGACCACTCCACATTCTTCCGCGTAAGACACCGCAACAGACTGGACACTATTGCAAAATACTTGATAAAAATCTGCACAAAACTACACAATCCCAGGAACTGAAGGATATGTGAGGGTGTCTGAGGTGTCAGCCACTCCAAGACGCCACAATCAACTGTCCTCGACAATACACCTCATGGCCCAGCCCATCCAATTCAGGCACACACACTGCAAACTTCTTTCCCAGCACTGTCAAACCCGCAAACTCGCTCCACCACATACTCCCAGATAAAGCGCCGGATCCCAGTGTTTTCAGGCAACACCTCTCCGCCGCAGTCAGACTTGGGACCCTTGATTCCTGCATTGTCAAAGAAGATCTGAACTACCTCCGGCAAGTTCTCCCACAAGATCCAAGTGATCTGAGCCTGCTAGACCGCTACCAAGTTGATTGCTCACTGCAAAAGGCGAGTCAACTGCAATCCTCCTAACAGACTTGCATCAAACACCGTCTTTGGCCTTGAAGAAGGGTGGAGCTCCCGCTGATCATATCCGCCCATGACGTTCACCAAGCCGTAGCAGGTTGCCCTGCCATGGTGTTGACAAACTCCTTGATCCGCAGAGGCAACCCTGCATCCCTGATTGTCACCAAATTCAACCTCTGAAAATCATGCACAATCCTCAAACTTGTCTTATCCTGCTTCAACACCGCAAAGATTGGGCTTGAGTAACGGCAATTGTCAGCCTGAGTGATGCCAAGAGCTGGTCTCTTCTAGATACACCAGGTGAAAACTAAGAAAATGATATGTACAAGTGTGGGTAACACTTGGAAAAGGGAGTTTTTAATATTAAGAAAGGAGGAAATAAAAACTGTTAAGTTTTTATAAAGGGAGGGGCCTGAGTTACAGGGGTTTTTATGGTGCCCTCCAATGAATCAGAACCTTTTAAACAGGGGTATTTTGATGTACCTGATGATCTGGTCCTTTGTGTAAAGGAGTATGCCCAGACAAAATGCCTACAACTGAAGTATCAAGGAAATATTTCCTACTTAGTACTATTTCCAAGCCAAGGGGACTTCAGGTGGGTGAAAACTGATCTGGGAGCGCTCAGAAAAATGGGTAACAGGTGTTGGAAGAGTTCTGGGGAAAAGTTGATGGTTGGGTTGGTGATACCCAAGACAGAAACAGCAGGAACTGGGCCAAAAACAGGGGAAAAACTGGTTGTTGGAGGTGGTTATTGCTGGTAAGTGGTAATGAAGATGGGGAATCAGATTTTGGGGGCAAGAAGGGTTCCTTATATACTCATTCTGGGCCCTTGGAGGCAAACTAAGAACTCTGTTTGGCTTGTGCAAGCCTCCTACTAGGCATTGGTGACCTGAAGCACTGCCTAGACACCTGTAGTCCTTGGTTACAGGTGTCAGAGGGCTGAAGTGAAGCTTTTAACACACACTAGGGGGTGCTGTGACAAAACTGCAGCCATGGTTTGGTCAGTTAGACCCTTTAATGACCAGTGGGCTGGTCTTAACAAGGCGTAGTTAGCCAAATGGGGCCAAAAAGGGCCACAAATGGCTTTTGACCAGCCGGTTACAGTTGTTGTGACAATTTAGTTAAGGTTTCAATGATGTCAACCTTGTTTTTGGATTTTTCCCGAACTGCATGAACCTTGATTACATATGTAGACATGTCACAACATGTAGTATGATGTAACTGGGAGGGTTTCTAGCAAAATGAGCAAGTGCCACTCAGAGTACACAGAAGTACATGAAGGAGTAATAATTCAGGGGTACTTCTGGTGAGGTGGCCTAGGTTATTTTGCATGAGAATTAAGAATCTGAAATAATATTCTAACTTTTGCTTAAGTTTCAGAAGTTATTTGTAGATTCATGTAAAAAATGTTTATTTATAAATGTTTTTGGTTTATTTTTATGTTTTCTTTCATGACTAGTAAAAATAAATTTAGTGAGTAATAATGTCTCTATCTTATGTACATATAAAATAGACATTAATTACATATGCTATGGGGGTAGTATGTGTAATAATGTCTTCAAATATTTACTATGCTATGGTCAGGTTGTCTCTGAATAGTAGCAGGCTGACAGCAATTTGTTTGCTTGTACAATTTGGTTTGCACTCTCTCCGTTATCAATTCCATAAAGGCTCCTCCAATGTCCGCCGGAACTGGAATTGGTCAAACCTGCCAGGGCTTGTGCGGTATCTTTGGAATCTTGTACAGCTGGCCAATTTCAAGCTTCAACAAGCCCCGTTCCTCCGGTCTGAAGGAAAGGACCTTCTCCTGCCTCTTCACCACTTCCTCCAACAGATGAAATTCCTTCACACTTAACCACCCGTCCAGCCCAAAATTCAAACCCTCTATCCGCTCCACAGTAATCTTGGTGGAAGGGGTGAATCTAGGTGGAACCTTCAACAACGGCATCAAAAGAGGGTCCTGATCCCACTGAATAGGTCTCAGCGGAGGGCTGAGGTCCTGAATCATTGGTTTGTTCGGAGGCCATACTTTCTTTGCCACCGCCTTGTACTTCCCCCTGTTCACCCTGGTGAGTCAATAATTTCCGTTGCCTGCGGCCGGCCAAGTATGATCTCATTCAACCTTGTGACCAGGAACAATATCCATTATTCAACTTTGGCCACAAACACTGGCTCTGCCTCCACCACTACTTCTACCTTGCACCTAAACCCTCCCATGGTGTGGATTGACATGCTTGTCTTTTGTTGCAACAAGTTAGCCGCTCTGTGCCAAATCTGTGGGCATGATATTGATCATAGAGCCACTATTGATCATTGCACAAAACTTCTGGCCTTGGATCCCCATCTTGGCGTAGCCCAACGGGCAAGACACCAGCGCCGTATGTGATGAAATTTCACGACAAGAACTAAAAAGGGGGAGAAGTGACCGGTGACAAAAAACTCTGAAGAGTGAAAGAACAAGGTCAAGAAGCCCTTTATAGGCTGCTAGCTTGTGGGTCGGAAAAGCAATCCCACTACAAGAGGTTGTATGAGTGACCTCAGGGAACAGACACAGAAGAACCAATGGTTTTCATATTCTAACTCATAGTATGGCTAATTTATCTACATACAAATTTTGGTTGAGTTGTGGGACATAAGGTGAAAAGAATGCATATTCATCTGGAAGGGAAAGGAGTGACATAGGTGTGAAAGGGAGGAAAGAAGGAGAAATGAGAGAGAGACAACAGAATTCCAACAGTATGCGTTGGCCTCTTCTTCTCACCAAACTCCGCGCTCCGCACCTCCTCCAGCACGGTTTCCACAGGTGCACTAACCTTCTCCGCGGTCTCTTTGAAGGAGGGACCCACGGCTTCCCAAATACTCACTATCAGCTGTTCCACCATCGACGGAGAGCTGGTTGGTTCTGCAATCAAAGGAGGAGGAATCAAGACCTTGGAACATTTCAAAATTTTCAGGACCAAATTTGAAGCCATCACTCACTACTTGGTCAGGATGGGCTACAGCTCCAATTTAGAAGAGTCCAGAGAATGTCTCTTGGAATCCCTCAGTCCAGACTTGGAATCTTCAGTTACCAGAGAGCTCATCAGAGACAACATGATGTTGGCCTCCAAGGATGGTGGGGATATCTTACCAGACACTGAAACTTTAATCAGCTACATCCACAGGGAAGTACAATCAGCCTCAGTCATGGAAAGAAGAAAAGTCCTGAGAAACATGGAACCAGCTGCTTCAGTCAAACATCAGGCCCCCAAAACTTCTGACCAAAAAGCTGTGGAATAGCTCACCAAAACCTTGGCCAGTTGGCATACCCAGAAATCCAACCAATCCAACCCTCTAATTTCCAAAAGTCATGTCCCCTACAAACCTACCTGCCCAAATGGAGAAAGACTGGAGTACTGTCAAGTGCAATTACTGCCTTGGAGTAGGACACACCTTCAATAGGTGCAAATTGGCCAATTCTGATGAAATGAAAGGACTCTTCAAAAAGGATGGCCCCAATGTAATCTTACCAGATGGAAATACAGTCCAGTGGGAAAGAAAAAAAGCCTTCAAGACAGTTGTGAACCATTTTCACCTATCCCAAAAACAGCCAGGAATCCTAAACTTACCCCAAGGAGCCCTGAACAAATCTGCAGAAATTTCAACTGAAAATCAGACCTCTTATGGTAAATTAGAGGAGATTGATGCTGATGAAGAATCCAGTTATGACTGTGAAGCTGTAAAAAGAACCAGAAGTGGTAAAGAATATCCAGAAGAAAATTCAGCTAACAAAAAGGTCAGACAAGAAAAGGAAGACTTAATGGATATAGACAGAGACAGACTCTTAGAAATTACCAGACAGGATGACTACAACCCTGTGGAATTACCAGCTTCCTCCACCAAAGAATATACTCCACCCAACAAAAAAAGTGCAGTTCCAAAAGCCTGCTGAAGCTCAACCTGCTCCTCCCAAGGAACCCCCAAAGGAGAAAGCCCCCAAGAAAACCTATGTGGAAAGACCTCTTACCAATCAATTCCCAGATGCTGAAGACAAAGTAGTAAGCAGAATGCTCATGGATGGCAGAATGGAATTATCCTATGGTGACATCTTTGCTATTTCCAATGGAGCTGTTGAAGCCTTTAAAAAGAAAATCAGCCCAAAAAGAATTCCCTTGGAACCCACTAAATCCACAAACACTGGAGGCCTGGATCAAGAAACAGAAGAAGAGGACCAGCCTACTGAAGAATCCAGTCATTATGCCTGCCCCTTAGGTTATATTGATGTCAGCATTAATGGAAAACAATTTCAAGCACTCCTGGACAATGGATCTCAAGTCAACTTACTTCCCAGAGACCTAGCAGCAAGAATGGGCCTCATAATTACCCAAGGAGCCATGAATCTTAAAGGAATAGGTGGCCACAAGAATGAAATCTTGGGAGTAGCTGAAAATGTCCCAGTCAAGGTAGGACATATAACCAGAGGAATTCATTTCTATGTTTCTGCAGGGGAAGTTCAACCAATCCTGGGTAAGCCATGGCTCATAGATGTGTCAGCTACCATCAAATTTCTTCAATTTGGAGCAGAATCCCTCTCAATCCAGAAAGCAGGCAAGAATTTACATAATCCAACAAATCAGAAATGGGAAAGAGACTTTCCAGTCCACACTGTCACCACATCAAGTCATTTTTTAGCCTCTGGCACCTCCCACAAGTGAAGACTTGGGAGGTGCCTAAAAATAAACAAGAAGGAGTTATGTTAGTATGTGCAGCAAAATATAAATCAACCACAAAAAAAAAATCAAACCTTTAAATGAAGCCATGCCCCAACACCTCAATGCCCCTCTATGCAAACCTCCCCTCTCAAGAGACCCCTACCAGACTCCCTTAACCCCCTTCCCCCCAGAATTTACCCCTACCTGGAAAGTGACAGAAGAAGGAATAAAAGTTGTCAACTTTGGACCACCTGATTGGCTTTGGCCAGAAGAACTCAAGCTCCTGAAACATGTAATCAAACTCAGACAAGGAGGCTTGGCCTTTTGTGAAGAAGAAAGAGGATTACTGAAACATTCCTATGGCCAACCCTACAAAATTCCAGTCATCAAACATGAACCCTGGCAACAAAGACCAATCCCCATCCCTGAAGCAATCAAAGACAAATTTATTGAATTAGTAAGGGAAAGACTCAAAACTGGCCTCTATGAACAATCCTGTTCCAGTTATTCCAGCCCTGTTTTCTGTGTCAAGAAGCAAGATGGTAAGCTCAGAGTGGTCCATGACTTACAAAGGCACAATAAAGTAACCATCAAAGATGCTGGAATTCCACCAAATCCTGAAGAACTCATTGAATCTTTCACTGGAAGGGCCTGCTATGGTCTGGGTGATATAGTGGGAGAATATGATGAAAGAGAATTAGCCCTGGAATCAAGACCCCTCACCAACTTTGAAACCCCCCTTGGCAGATTCCAACTTACCAGATTACCCCAAGGAGCCACCAATTCTGTGGCAGTATACCAAGCCCAAATGATGTGGATACTTCAGGATGAAATCCCAAATAATGTAGGAATTTTCATTGATGATGGTGGAATTAAAGGCCCTGTCTCAGACTACAATCAAGAAACCCTGGAAGCAAATCCTGGCATCAGAAGATTTATTTGGGAATATGCAGTCACTCTGGAAAGGATCTTATTCAGAATTGAAGAAGCTGGACTTACCATATCTGGAAAGATATTTTCCTGCTGTGTACCTGTCCTGGACCTTGTGGGACATGTGGTATGCAAAGAAGGGAGAAAAATTGCCAAAAAAAACTCAACAAAGTAGAAAGCTGGCCATCTCCTGACAACCCCACTGATGTCAGAGGATTTCTTGGTGTCTGTGTATACGTCAGAATGTTCATCCCTGGACTTTCAGAATTGGCCTCACCCCTCAGAAGACTCACTTGGAAGGACTCAGAATGGAAATGGAACCAGTCCTGTCAAGATGCTTTTGAAAAATTAAAACAAATTGTGGGCTATGACATAACTCTAAAAAAATTGGACTATTCTGAAGAGGCAGGTGCAATCAAGTTAGCTGTGGATTCAAGTCATATAGCAGCTGGAGCAGTACTCACACAAGAAGATGCTGGTTTGGACAGGCCTGTTATTTATGAATCAGTTGTTTTCTCCCCCACTGAATCCAAATATTCCCAATCCAAGCTTGAAATCTGTGGAGTTACAAAAGTCCACAAGAAACTGCAAACCCAACTCTGGGTTCAACATTTTGAACTGTTAGTGGATGCCAAGAGCCTTATAGAAATGATCAACTCACCCAGTTTGCCCAATGCCCCCATGACCAGATGGGTAGCTTTTATCCAACTATTTTCTTTCACCATGAAACATGTCCCTGGAAAAACTTTCACCATGCCTGATGGATTATCAAGAAGGCCTCCTGACCCTGGAGAAATTGGTGAAGAATTTGATGAGGAAGAAAAATGGATCAAGCCTCACCCTGGCTTTGGTCTCAAGCAAACTAATATGGTGCACCTGGAAATTCAGCCCTCAAAAAGTCCACAAATTGGGATTTGGAAGGATCTTCAGTACTATTTGGAAATCCTCAACAGACCCCCTGACTGTTCTGCAAAAGATTGGGCCAATATCAAACACAAATCAGCCATGTTCTTTATGTCTGAAGGTCAGTTAAAAAGAAGAAATAAACCCTTTCCCCAGGTAGTTGTCACCAATCCAGAACTCCAGAAATCTGTCCTCAAAGCACTTCATGAAGAATTGGGCCACAGAGGAATGGATGAAACTTACAGAAGAACCAAACTCAGATTCTGGTGGCCAAATATGAAAAGATCAACCAAGAAATGGGTCCAATCTTGCATTCCCTGTCAGAAAAGAAGCTCCTCAAAACCCCTGGAAGAAAAAAGAGCCACAGGAAAATCCACAATCTTTGGAAGAGTCAGTCTGGACACCATCCATATCAAAGCTGGAAGGTGGAAATACTTGGTTGTTGCCAGAGATGACCTGTCAGGCTGGGTTGAAGCAGTTGGATTGGAGCAAATCAAGGCCAAGAAAATTGCTGAATGGTTTCTGGAAAACTGGATCCACAGATATGGCGTCCCTCTCACAGTTGTAGTTGATGGAGGTTCAGAATTTGGCCAAGAACTTCAAAATGCCCTCACTCAAGTTGGATCTACTGTCAAAGTCACCACTCCTTATTAACCTGAAGCAAATGGAATGATAGAAAGAGGACATCAGCCAATCAAAGACACTTTGGTAAAATTATGTGAAACTGATGGCAAAAAATGGAGAAATTACCTACCACTGGTGTTATTTGCTGACAGAATTTCCACCAAAATGACAACTGGATTCTCCCCCTATGAGTTGCTTTTTGGCCAGCCTGCAATTATACCTATGTACTTGTAACTAGAAACCTACCTTGGAACCAACTGGGAGGAAATTTCCACCACTGAAGAATTACTTACTGCAAGAGTCCTACAACTGGAAAGAAGAGAAGAAAACCTTCAGGATGCCTACAAAAAAATGAAGGAAGCCAGGGCCCAATCCTTGGAACCCCAAAACCTGAAGAACTCTGTCAGAAAACACCTCTTACCTGGCCAACTTTTTCTTGTCTACAACAAATCCTTGGATTCACAATGGGGCAAATTGTTTGAGAATGGGTGGAATGGTCCCTTCAGAATTACCACACAGGAGGAGGGAGGATCTTACAATCTAGAGGAACTGGATGGAACAGCTTTAAAAAGGAGATATGCAGCCTCACAGGTCAAACCTTTCTTTTCAAGGGAATGATTCTGGGTCTTTTCATTTCAACTTGACAAATTCTTTTCTGGACAAATTCCTTCTGGTTAATTTCTTTCCAGACAAAAATTCTTTCTGGGCTCTGTAAAAACACTCAAAAGCAAGATACCTCAAAAGGTACCCTTTAAAAAAGAATATGATAATAAAAAAAAAATAAAAAAAAAATTCAAGACATATCAGTACTACTCAGATTTATCATTTTTATTTATTTTGGGAATTCATTCAAGTCACTTATTTCTTCTCACCTAATTGACAAGCTGCATGGTCACTTCATCCACGTCAGCCAAGACCAAATCCATCTCATCCATCACCTCACGGTACAACCATTGACGCGCGGAGCGGCAACCTTCCCTGGTGCGCGCAGCAGTACAGTAGGGAAAAGAGTCGAGTATATGGAAGTAATCATGAAATCTCTCCTTGATGCGGCGGCGCGCGGTGCGCACGGTTCTTTCTTGTACCACCTCGGCGTAGAAGGGTCCACGGTCAGCGGCAGTCAATTCGGCTCCAGGCCCCGGCGGCGAAGTGTTAACATAGTATGGCGAGTCGGCGGTGCCGCGCCCTGGAAGATCAGAAAAACTAAGTACAGACAGGGATCAGTAGCCATGGGATGCGGGAACCACTTTGGAAAATCCCGCTGTGCCTGGTTCAGGATGATTGGCCTCCGAGGCTTCTTGAGGCGAATTGTGATCTTCATTCTCTTCGGCGCTGGGCGCGTTTTCAGTCAAGGTATCACTTTCTTCGTTGCTGACCAATGATGTCGGTGTAAGCAGCGCGGAGTTGAATAACGGTACAAACCCCAGGGCATCGTCCAATCCTGAGGGACCCAGATCCAAGATTGCGCCCATGTTAGCTTGAAGGTATGACAACGGGCGAAGCTTGGCAATGGGGGGTAGCACCAGCTCTTCGGACAATTTGGTTAGGGTACTGTCAACTGAGTGCCCAGATGGCGACGGGCTTGGGTTTGACAACATGCTAGCAAGGGCATTGGAAGCGTCGAGCTAGGAAGGGCTAGCAGACATTATGAAGACTGGTACGGTTGGTTGCTAAAGAAGTTACAAAGCAACAGACTCTGCCCTATTTTATACCCTCGTCTTCGCAACCACAAGTCAGCCGTGGCTCACTACTAAGTACTTTTTTTTGCTCTGCCTCCCGTTCCAGCAATCATCAAACACCGTTGCTCTTCTTTCTGCCACCCTTTCCGGTCCTATTCTCTACTTTTTTTTCCTTTTATTATTATTTCTTTTGCCCATTATCGGTTGCAAGTCGTGGCGCCTTGCCCAAAACAGGATGAAACAAGAAGACAACACTCTAGGATTAGGGGAGGAGGACTTACTGCTTCCAATTCGGGATTTCTCCTTCATCAGTCAAGAAACTATTGACAGGCTAAACGCTTCCAACGAACGTTGGAACCAATTCGTCGAAGCGTTTTGTGCCGACACTAGATGGCTTCATCAGGAATTTGAACAAAGGCAGTGTCGCTGCTACAATCGGAACAAGTTGTTTTATCTGATCCATTGGGAACCCAAGTACAGACCACCCCCAAGTCGGCGACAATCAATCTAGGAATGGAATCAACTCCTCCACCTCTCGATACTTCCATGCTATCCTTCCTTGGCCAGTCAAGCTCTCCAATCTGAGTCCGGGTACTAGAGATGGGCGGGGATAATCCGTTGCGGATATCCGCTATCCGCTGGCGGATACCCGCTGGCGGGTGCAGATTCGGGTGCGGATGCCCCCTTTTCCCTGAAATCCCAGCGGATATCCAGGTATCCCCAAGGATACCCGAGGCCGGAAAGAGGAGATGGCCGGCTGGAAGGGTTTCCTTCCAGCCGGCAAGGTACATGTACCTTGCCGACTGGAAGGAAATCCTTCTGGCCGGCGAGGTACATGTACCTCGCTGACTGGAAGGGCTTCCTTCCAGTCAACGAGGTACCAGGAGGATTGGTCGACGAGGTTGTACAACCTCGCCGGCCAGCATTCCCTCCTCCTGGTCGACGAGGTTGTACAACCTCGCTGCCAGGAGGGAATGCCGGCGAGGTTGTACAACCTCGCGGGCCAGGAGGATTCCCTTCCGGCCGGCGAGGTACATGTACCTCGCCGGCTGGAAGGAAATCCTTCCAGTCGGCGAGGTACATGTACCTGTAAGGACTGGGAGTCCTTCACTGGATAGAGGAGAAAAGGAGGCTCAAGGGACAGGCAGAAGCCAGATAATTCTAAGACCAAACAGGGTAGATTTGTATTACTGGTTCAGAGAGAGGATGGGGTCAGTTCTCTCTTGATGATAATCTGAATCCAAGAGAAATACAAAAGAAGAAGGAGACTAGAAGGGCTTACCTAGTTCAGAGAGAGGATGGGGTCAGTTCTCTGCTGAACCAGGGAAGGAACACTGAGACGGGAAGACTAGAGATAAAGTGTGACATCTTGTAATAATTCTTGTGAACCCTGACAACGGAGGGAGGGGGTTTACAGTACCTCGCTGACTGGAAGGGCTTCCTTCCAGTCGGCGAGGTACATGTACCTTGCTGACTGGAAGGAAATCCTTCCGGCCGGCAAGGTACATGTACCTTGCCGGCTGGAAGGAAACCCTTCCAGCCAGCTGCCTCGCCGCCAATTCAAAGGGCGGGTATCTGCGGGTATCCGCTGTGGTAATTGAATATGTAAAAAATTCAAAGTTTTTTCTTTATACACATTTTTCTCATACATTCACTCAGAAATCAACCAATACAACTTCAGAAATTGATTCTACAGACAATTTCAGCCTAGGTCACCACTGGACGCATCATTGGAACACTCACGGATTGGAAGTTACACCCCTACGGACACATATCTCAAAGCCAATACCCAGTCAAGCACATGTCACAGCCCTCAAATCAACTCTCAGTTATGCTTACACACAGCTCACGGAATACAAATAATTTCCCACACCTCTTTATCTCCACCACATAAATTAGTTTGGAATTATTTGTCACCTCATGCACTGCCTTGCAGGCTGCGCAGTCTTGATTGAATTACTTTTCCCACAGTTTATTAATTTGCTCACCTCATTTATGACAACAGCTGGACTTTTCCCACAATATATTGCCTCATTTGACACTTTCTCACATTATTTACGCACTGCAGCACAGCCTTTGACATTAATTGTACACAGCCTCACTGGATAATTTCCCTCACTTGCATGATCAGACTAGCTAAATTAACTCATTCGTACCTACAGGCCAGCTAAAATCACTCTTTCTTGTCTGCCCTGGAGCTAAATTCCCTCACATTTGTCTATAAAAGGAGGCTCTCTTCCCCCCATTTGTAGACTCCTCACTCATCTATTACAGTTCATTCACTCAGTACATCACTTAGCAGTCAATCAATATACAACTCACCAGTTAAAAACAATTATATAAGCCTTTCACCTGTTACACAACATAACAGTTTCTTTTATAAGCAATTATATATTCAACCTTTACCTTTCATCAAACAAAGTTTTACCGGAACCGGCCAATCCTATCACGTTATTAAAACTTTCCAAGCTAAGCTTGGGGGTCTTGTTTCTGATAGTATAGAAGGGCAGAGTTTGCACCTCCATTTTTCCCCTTCTAAATTCAGCAAAAGGGTTTCACAACCACTTTTGAGTCTTACACCGTGTGGATACCCGCCAAAACCAGGGGATATCAGCCAGCGGTTTCGGTTGCGGATGCGGATATCAAATTCCGCTGAAATTGTGAGCGGATATCCGGATTCACCGTGACCATCTCTACCGGGTACTACTGCTGCGGACCTTTGTACGGCTCTAGCCTCTTATGGCGACATCACACATTTCTTTCTTCTGGTTTTGAAAACAGCAAACCTCGGCGCTGTCGTCCATTTTTTGGATCACAGAACCGCTGCAACCGCAGCAGCCGACCTGGACGGTACATGCGCGGATGGATTTATTCTTCAGGCTAGGCTCATGAGTCATAAAGAGCAGTCAGCTTAAGCCCTTTCGCGCCGAATGAGCTAAAAAAAAAAAAAAAAAAAAAAAAAAAAAAAAAAAAAAAGAGGATGGAAGTGATAAAAATTTAAAAAAACCCAAACCCCTTACCTCCAAAACAACACCCTAATCCGTTGGCTTTTTTTCTGCTAAAAATTCACCTTCTCTTGTCATCTGTCTCCCCCACCCCCCTCCCAGATGCAAATTTGGGGGTGGTTAAAAAAAAAATCTTAGAATAAATTACTGAATCAACCAACCCCTTTGCTCAAAAACAAGCAAACCTTTTTTTCCTTTCTTCTTTTCTTCTGCCTCCTGAATCCTGATGCCTGAAATATCCCCTCTCTTACCATTTTGTAAATTCTTTGCTTCTTTGTGTCCCTTATGTGAAATTAAGTAAATTAATTTGTGCCCCACTTTTTGTGCCCACTTTTCCCTGAACCACCCTTTTTTCCTCTTATTCAAGATTGCCCTCTTCTTTGTTTGGATGATGGGGTCATCATCTAATTTGGGGGTGGATGTCGTAAGCCAATCTTGAATAAGAGGCCCACAAAATCAAAGCTTCAAGCATAATATCAAGCCATCTGGAAGACATTACCCTCAAGGACAAAGACAACCCCCCTCTGGACTATTCAGCTAACCTGCAACACCATGGATGTCACAAGGCCAAGCCCCCAGGACAGAAGACACTCTGGATTCACATTTCATTTCTTTATTACATAATTATATCATGCAGTCTTACATCATCAATCCCCATTCAGCCTTCCACACTTGGCCACTGCATGTGTTTCACTCTATTCCATTTTCACTCTAGCCTCATTTCCACTTTGGCCCACATTCTATTGTTTCACACTATTCCTCTTGGGTTATTCTCATGTCTCACACTAGTACACATCTGGCTAGTTCATTCATCTCTTTGGTATATTCTTCCTCCCTCATTGGTTATGGCACATTTCATCCCTGCATGACTCTGATGTCATTTTCCCCATTTATCTTAGTCCCTACCAATTGGGCCACATTGTTTCAGTGTGATAATTTTCTCTTGTTCCGTTTTGTTCCATGGTGTTTCCAACCACAAGCTGGCCACTCCCCAGATTTTGTATATAAGGAGCCTTGTTTTCCCCTCTTCATTTGTTCCTCATCAGATCCTGCCCCAGCAATCCAGATAACTGATCACCCTTCATTAGCCTAGTAGTTGCCCATCAACATTTGGGATACTAGTATTATTCAGACGGAAGACCAGAAGACAGAAGACATACCCATCTCAAGAATTCTCCAAAGCCACACCTTTCCTTAAGAGTCCACACTCTTATCTTTTTCTTGTTATCTTACTCAACCCAGTTACCAGAGAGGCAGCCCATTAAAGCATCTTTCCCTCTCCAGCTCTATTCATCCCAAGAGTAGTTCCACACCGTCCAGATAGAAGTCCCTCATCACCGGACAAACCCCTAAGTTCTTCATGTCTGTGGTGAGCCCTTTGCACTGCGCCTTCAAGTGCCCTAACACCCCACAATAACTGCAAGTTGGCGGTCCTCAGAGAGCGAAGCCTGGACCCTTTGCCACTGTCTACGCCGCCGCGGGGAAAGTTTCAGGTCCCAAACAAGTTACAACCCACCAGCTGCTTCCAAGGTTGAGTCACCTTCTTTTGCATGAAAAGGCATAGCTCTTTGAGCATATCTGCCAGTTCACCAACCTCCTTTACCAACACTGGCTCTTTACACCAAACTGATCCTAATCCACCAGCTCCTCTGCCCTCTTCTATCAACTCCTGCATGTCCATCTCACCCAGAAGCTCCTTTCAGATCTCCTTCATCTCGGGCAACACAATTACTTACCCATCCTTTGACCTATTTACTGGGTTCTGCTCAAAGAGCTGAAGGACTGCCTATTCCCGCATCTCCTTTGAAAAGGCCTTGATGAAGGTCTGCTTCCCGCTCCCGGGGTATTGGTAACTATTGTGTTCCAATTGAGATACTTCAGAATCCAGTCAAATGAAGAAACATACTTCCCGTACTGCTCCCGCATCTGAATTCTACCCTTTTCTGCCATTTCCTCTGCAAGCCTATCCAGATCTGCCTCCCTGTATCTTTGCTTGCTCTGCCCCCACTTCTCCAGCATCTCCTTCTTCAACTCGGCCCAGTCCTTCTTCTCATACCCCTTCATGTCTTCCACGTTCCGCAACACCTCTTCATCCTGAATAAAGTTGAACACCTTTCAAACTTTATCTGGACCCACCGCTCCCTCTCCATCCGCTGCCGCCTCAAAACGCCCCAAGAACCTTGACATTTTGGTAGTGCTGAGCTGGATTTTAGGATAGTCCTTAAGACGTATCTTTTCTTTCAATGGGCCTAGAGCCCGCGCTGGCGTTGGATTGTCCAGATTCATTCCTTCTTTTTAATCTTCAATTGGTACTCCTTAAGTTTGGGACTTCTTCCCCTATCCCAAGGCCTGTCTTTTGAAAATCTCACGCTTCTCTGCTACTTTGTTTCCGGCAAATCCGCTTTTCTTGACGTAATCTACCAAATTGTGTCCTTAGTCAAATAGATCCTCCAAAGACTCCCTCTTTGTCTCTTGCTCCCTCTGCACTTGGTTGATTTACTCAGACTATTCGAGTCATTGTACTTTTGCTGCCGTCGCTATCAGAAGAATTGGAAGATTGCCCCCTTGCTTGCTTGTTTCCAATGTTGTGATCTGCCGGCGTAAAGAAGCTTCCAGGAAAACTCATCCACTACTGTTTGACCAAGGAAGTTGCTTCCTGGCCAGACCCCCGATTTGTGGAAAGTAAGGCGCGCCCTGAGGGATTTCTTGCACTTCCCCGCTCTCCAACGCCTCCTTGCTCCGGTTTGTTGTTGGGGTCACTTGCTTGGATGGTCTTTTAGGTAGGTAAATGACTATTCTTTTCTGTTGTTTTGTCGGTAACAATCTAACTCTTTCTATCTCTAGCAATTCTTTAGGCTGATACACGATTGACTCCTAACTCACTCTGTTTTTCCAATATGTTCTGAGTCCTATCCCTCCTCTCTCCCCTTCTGCTCTGAACTCCTACTCCACCAGCTGTCCCACACACTTTTCCCCCGTGCTTCCCATGCTGCTCTCCAATGTCACTCCCTCGCACTCCACTTTTCACCCCTCTGACACCCACCAGCCAATGTACTACTCCGGCCGCTATTCAGACAGGTATCCCGCCACTGCTTCTGCCTCTGATCCGGCAGTGACAAAACCCGCTTCCCGCTCTTGGTGCCCCTGCTCCTTCTTAGCCTCTCCACAGTATACCCTAACCCCGGTCCGCAGTTGTCCGTGAACCCCAAAGTCCGCCAGTGCCTGGATTCCCCGCAGTAAGCTTTTTGAACCTTGGGCATTTGGCCCTCTTTTACCGCGCTTTCCACACCTTGAAAAGCTAGACTTTCTACTTGTGCACTGCCCCTTTCCTCAGCCTGCACATGTAGTGTCAGCTCCGCATGCTTTTCACGTCAGCCGTGTGCATTCCGCATCCACCCAAACAATTTGGCCAAAGCTTTGGTCCCAGCGCGCTCTCACCACCACACTGAGCAAGCCACTTCACTGCCCCAGTTGGCGTCTGAAAATGTCCGGACTCCCTCCTCAAAAGGACAAGATGTCACAATGGGTAAGGAAATATTGGTAGTATACCGAATGTATGAAATAAGATGCTTGAGGGCCAACCAATGTGACTTGTCTGGCTGCATTGAAAATCTTGCCAAAAAAATGCACCGCAAAAGTGATGTCAGGTTGGGAGCCTTGAGCCAGATAAAGGAGAGAACCAATCCTTGACAAATACTTGATATCCATGGAGCCATCAGACTTGTCAGAAAAGAGATCTGACAAACCAATTGCAGTGCAAGTCTTGATCTCCGAGGGACAAAAATTGATTATTTCTTGGACCAACATTGGTTGATCCAGGCGGAAACCACCATTGACTTCTCAAACCCTGAGTCCCACAATACCAGCAAGTCACTCATCCCGCTTGAGGTCAAGGACCTTGGATAGCAAATCCTCTAGCTGATTGAGTAATTATTGGCTAGAACTGGCTGTGAAGAGACCATCATCAACTTGGATCCAGAGAAATGCTCTGTTGTTGCCTTTGCTGTAGACGCAAGTTGACTGATCCTCCGGGCTGGGGAAGAAACCAATTCCCTCAATTCTGGACTTCAGGTGTAGCCACCAGCAGCAAGCAGCCTATTTGGTGCCGTAAAGCGCCTTCTGGAGCTTCAAAACACAGCCTGGCTTGACAGATACACCAGGTGGTGGTCGGATGTAGACAATGTGGTTGATGTTGCTATGTAAGAAAGCAATTCAAACATCAAAAGAAGCAACAGGCCATCCAAGTCTGCAACACGTAAGGAAGAAAATTTTGGAGTGGGTGCAAAAGTCTTCCCCATGTTAACTCCTTGAACCTGACAAAAACCCTGCGCAACAATCCTGGCCTTAAACTTGATGATGACTCCCTCCTGATCCCATTTCAATGCAAAAACCCAGCAACAGTTGAGGATGGAGTCAGCCTCCAACTGTGACACCTTGACCCAGACCCCAAGAAGCTCAATCATTCCAATTTCTGCCTTACACACGTCCAACCACTCCTTGTGAAAGTCCAAGGATAAAGCCTTATTGTAAGTACTTTGAGCATCAGACACGAATGGCAACATTGCCTCCGCTGAGGAGATGACTGCGTCCTGAATCTTGAATTCCTTCAATTGGCTGAAATTGCCAAGATGAAAAGCTTGAATAGAATTAAGAACTGAGTTGAGACTGCAAGAGTTGGTCAATCCCAATGCTAGATTGTCCTCATGGAAAATGACGGATGCCGCTGTGTAACTTTTCAAGCTAAAGAAAAGAGCTTAGAGGGGAAAAGAACAACTACAAAGGGGAAAATGTGAGTTACAGACTTGGATGCTGATGAAGCAGCCCTCTTTTCAAGGCTTGGGGAGAAGTTTCACTAAGAATCAAAGAAAAGGTGTGGCTATTTCTGAGGAAATCTTAGTAAGGGATTTATTACTAATTTCTTTTGCAAGGCACCTGTTGAGAGTGTGAGGATGTGGGGAATATGGGGAAGGATGAGGCTCTGGGGGATAATGGTTTCTGGGTTCAATTTCTTATCTTCTGGGGGAAAATCAATAATAATTACTTCTGTTAACTACTAGTAAGTGATGTCTGCTAAGTAATTATCTGTTTACTTCTCTTATGCAAGCATGGGGAAAATTTTGGATTGAGTAATCCTGTATGTAGTACTTGCATGCTTGTACTGAGTTGTGCTTATAACAAGCTTCCCATTAATACTTAGCTACCGGACCTCTCTCTTCATTCCTTTCCTCATTGATTCAATACATAATATTCTCATTGTCAAGTCACCATTGTGAGTCTTGACTTCAGTGTTGTCTTCAGTCCATGCTGTCCCTCAACACCACAAAGTGAATTAAAAGGGTTAGTCTCTATATACATGTGGGTGGTTCTGATCAGGTACTAAGTGGTAAGATATCAGCTGAAATGATAATATGGTATGAAATAAGTTGTATCTGAAAGAACAGTGATTATGAAATAAAGGTGGCTGAAAAATGTGTAGTATGAAACACATCATCCCTGACATGATTTCCCAGATGAGAAATCTTGTAAATTTTGGGGAAATCCTGTAAAAAAATCAAGATTTTTTTCCAGATTTTTTAGATTTTTCCAAATTTCTTAGATTTTTCCAGATTTCCAGATTTTTTCATATTTTTATGGAGTTACTGATCAGCCACTTTGGCCCAAAAAAAAAAAATGAAAACGTGGGGATAAACCGCAAAATGATGCCCCTGACCTTGATGGGAGTGTGTCCTCCATTGATGACTGGTTTTGACCAGTCATTGCTGGGGGTTTTTACTCCCATCAATGACCGTCATTGCTTGGGGTGCTTACTACCATCAATGATCAGTCAAAACCGGTCATCAATGTAGGTGTTTACTCCCATCAAGGACAAGTCAAAACCAGTCCTTGATGAGAGTGTGTCCTCCCATTGATGACTGGTGTCATAAATGGTCATCAATGAGAGACTGTATGGCCAAATTGGCTGATGGATTTGTTTTTTTTTTATGTTTTTTTGGGCTATGATAAAAAAACATAGTTTTTCCGTGTTTTGACGCCGTTCCGCAGCTGTGAAGCACACACAGATTCCATGTTTAGACACATTTTTATTAATTATGCATGCAATATGCATAGTTTTGCCTCCAGGGGGCACACGCACATACCACAAGTGCCTGCATGAGTTTTGAAAATTTTCCTGCAGGCACCAAACAGCAAAACCACTCACCATGATCAAAAGCGGACTTCAACACACCACAACTCAGCCAATTCTCAACCAAAATCGTCAAAAAAAATACCAAAAATATTCTTTTTCTCTCCTCTTTAATTTCAAGGTCTCGGATTTTTTTGATTCACCTCCAATTCATTCCCAGTTTGTAGGTACACTCTAAACTTCAACAAACCACAACTTTGACATTTCTCAACCAAAATTAACAAAGAAACACCAAAAGTATCTTTTTTTCATACTCTTTACCCCAATTATCTCCAATTTTGCTGATCAATCTCCTGTTTTTTTTTCAAATCATTAGTAGGCCTCAAACTTCAACTCAGAATAACTCGGCCATTTGTCAACCAATCTCTTCAAAAAAAAACCATCAATAATATTCTTTCTTTATCCTCTTCACCGCCACCGTCTCTGTTTTTGCCAACAGACCTCTTGTTTTTTTGAATCATTGCTGGAACTCCAGTAGGTCTCAAACTTCAACTCCAAATAACTCAGCCATTTCTCAACCAATTTCTTTGAGCAATACATTAACTATTTTATTTCTTGATCCTCTTAACAGCAAACTTCTCCTTTTTTCCAACAGACCTCTTGTTTTTCTTGAATCATTGCTTGAACACTAGTAGGACTCAAACCCCAACTCCAAATAACTCAGCCATTTCCCAACCAATTTCTTCAAGAAATACATCAAAAATATTCTTTCTTGATACCCCTGACAGCCACTGTCTCCTTTTTTCCAACAGACATTGTGTTTTTTTAAATCATTGCTGGAGCGCTAGTAGGACTAAAACCCCAACTCCAAATAACTCAGTGATTTCTCATCCAATTTCTTCAAGCAAATCAAAAATATCCTTCTTTATTGATCCTCTTCACCAAAATCATCTCTGATTTTTTCAACTCATCACAATTTTTTCTCAAACCATCACTCAACTTCAACCAAAACCAATGTCATCCGATAATATGTCTGAAAGTCAAAGCCACATCAAACCCTCCT